ATCCTCCCCCTCATTATGCAATCCATGGAGGAGGCCTACTCGGTAGAGGACTTTAGGCTCTAACGGTAACGGTGTAAATTAATAGAAATGGATAATAATAAAATATTGACATATGATCGTGATGAGAAGTGGTCACAGTAGTACAGACATCAAGATTGTTGTAGATAATAATATTAAATAATAATAAAGCCATCCAGACCGAATGTCGGTCGCGGCGGCCGGTCTCAACGGAGACCAGCCATCTGCGCAGAGCAAGATTATAGTGCCCACGTGTATGCGCGAGCACTAGTACTCTCTCCATCAGACACGACCGGAGGCGTCATGTGCAGGCGCAGCAACAGCTTTAAGTACTTTCCGGGCACGAGGATAAAGCACAGCCAACTTTCTGACTCCGGGCTGCTACTGAAAATTCTTGACAGAAATAGCCAATAACTAATTTTTGCATTTCCTCGAACCCGGGCCCTCAGAATGAACAACCGCGTTGTAAACTACTGGTAAGTTATTTTAGGGGTCTATCCTCAACCAACAAAAAAGGACGTGGCGCTGTGTACATTACAATTTAAATCGTATAATTTAAGAAGTGATGACGTGACGGTGCCAAATTTCAAACATGTTGGTGTCAAATCATTTTAGATGCATATGTGTATGCGAGTAGGGTGTAGCGGAAGTTCTCATGCATTTTTAACCTCCGTAATCTCTTCTATAGCGACTCCAAGAAGCTGTAGTCACAGAGGCCACACCCCGGGCAACCACGTCAGTGAGTTAATCCTAGAGAAGGGGACTGCATCTACGAACATCTGTAGATGAGTTATCGGATTATTACAGATGCATTGAACTATCGATGTAGCAGGGTAATGCGAAAAACCTTAAGGACCTTTGTCAGAAACCATGTAGTGACTTATGGCCTATTCGTTGCATCCCATCCTCTGTCGATTGTACTGGTTTACCGATTCATTGGGTTAAAGAGTTAGGGAAGAATGAAGTGGACTTACACCCGCGCAACCGTTTATCCACTATAAATAAGTTTACGCGTAGATGACCCTAGCTATCTCTTTTTGTCGCCGTCATCGAAATTGATGGGGAGGAGGATATATATATATCGAGTGTTTTGCGCTCCCGTTTTCTTTCGTACGTATGCATACGTTACCCATTATGCTAAGTGATGATTATGTGATGATAAGTGATGATGATGATACGTTTGACGGTATGGTATGGTAACTCAAAAACTTTTTGAGTTAAAACGATAACATGTAGCAAGTAACCAAACATTTTTACGGTAGAATTGTGGCTAAAACCAAATATACAAGATGCCACAATTGCAATTATGTATAAAGATAAATAAGTTTTATAAATAAGTAAATATATAAAAAAAACAATAATTTATGCTATGGAGTGTAGAGTTAAGGAGAATCGGCTCTGTATATTAAAAAGTGCCAGTAGAAAAGCGCTAAATAAGGGTGGCGCCACTGTAGCTAGAGAGTAAATTTTAAAGAACTTTTTGTAAATTTTTATTGCACAAACTTTCACCATAATTGTTTTTCATAATAATTATTTCACAGTTATCAAAATTTTTATTCTTAAAATCACTCTCAACGTGTTTCACGGCGACTTTTTCCAGTTTATATTTACTAAATTATCTTAGACAACGTGAATAGTTGAGGTTGTAAATATTGCAGTTCCATCAACTACTCTAGTCACCACAAATATTAAACTCAGCACACTTAACTCCGTCGACAATTGCAAAGTTCATTTCATACCCTCTAGCTACTCTAGCGCTGTTGTGGAGAGGTTTTGAACTGTTATTTACTGCTTACAGATGGACACTTTTTCTACTATTCTCTAGATGAGACGGTTCTCATTACCTCTACATTTTATGGTTATTATTCTTACGAATGAATAATCCGCCATCTTGAAAATCGGCCCGCCTAATCTCGTTAATTTGAGGTCATCATTCATTTAAAATGAATTCTAAACTACGGAATATAAAATATTTTTATCACGTTTTTATTAAAGTCACTTTCTTGTTTTTTGTCGTTCCGGGTGGTATTTAGTAATTGATTTTAAACTAACTTCCCGATGAGCTGGAAACTTGAAATTTTAAATATAGATGAAATTCTGTTGACAATGCAAGAACGTAATTAAAAACGTGATAAACATTTTTTTAAAGAAATTAAAAAGTTTCACCTGATAATTCTTCTGATTCATAGTGCTTATTCATGGTTTTGCTTATTATAATAATAAATTAAACAAGACTGACTAAAATGACGTATGTCAAGTGATATTATGATAACTATGCCTCTTGACTATGTCATAAAATCAAAAAAAATTACGAAATGGCGTTTACATAGTCCTATACCACATGGCAATAGTATGTATGATACTAATATTTTTATTTGGCCAAATGTGATTTTCTGTTATTACTTTCATAATACAAATATATTATTGGTGCAAATAAGATTTTCTCGCATAAAAACGAGATGATAATATAAAATGTTATTACAAAAGCTACATACAAAGTTTTCATGAGCAAAAGTTGCAATTGAGCTCATAATTACGTTACTCATTCAAATATAGTCTGTCTTTATGTCGTTACAGTTAAGATAATAAATAATAGTGTTGTTTCAATTTCTATCTTAAGGCTGAATAGCTATATATAACAACCAAAGACTTCTATGTATATCACTAGACCGGCACACATACACAACGTCACACCTATAAATCGCGCGGGCACGGTAAATATGCCACGCAGTTGTACTTACTTATTGTTTTTTAGGCAAATACGAAAATTTACACACTAATCTAAATTTCAAATCACGTTGACAAAATGCGCACTTAAATAATGCCAGCGTTCTCTGAATCACATTAAACAAAATCAGTGTTAGATCGTCGTAAACAACGTACGCGGTTTACAAAACAAACGACTAGTCTTCTCGGCCCCTCGCAGTCGACTAAAGAGGTTACGGTGAATTGACCGTAGCTTAGTGCGCAATGTATTAGCACCGTAGTATGGATGTCGATCCTTTCCGAAAAAGATAGATTTTTTAATCGATTCAAATACAAATTACAAAAGTAACTTACTTTTTATTTCTTTAATCCATTAAGAAAAGATGTAAGAAATTGAGCACACAGCTGTTTTGCTAGTTTTTGAATAAAAAAACTGTCGTTTTTTACGAATTTGGGTACATTTAATTTATTGTAAATTATTTTATAGTTCTTAAGAAAACAGAAAAAGATTCGATCTCGATTTTCTAGGGTGAAATATCGATTCACTGGATCGATTCAGAACTATATATCGATAAAAATCGATCTTTTTGGCACAAGAAAACGATTCTTCGATTAATCGATCTCAGACCGACATGCCTACACCCTAGTGCCCGTCCAGTAGTACACATACTACTTTCAAATTAGAAGTCTTTGACAACGAAACATAAATTACAGTTATGTCAAACACTTAAAGTACATTATACTCATGAGATCTTACATTTATTATGTCGCAATTAATTATTTACGATCCTATCTATAGGAACAAAAGTTTTAGAAACTTATGTTATTATTGTTTATGATTGTGTAAAAATTAGTTTGTTTTGAGGCTCGGAAGGCGTGTTTTTTATAATCCTACGTTTCCAGTATTAAATTTACTAATATTTTCTAACCGTCTTTCCAAAAGAGGAGCAGCACCTATGAGTAACATCGCAAATAAAAAAAACAGTGAAAATAAACTGGATAATATCTGTCAAGCGTTCGCGTAAATATAAGGAATAATAATTATTATGATATCTCCAAAGTTAATAATCGAATTTGTTTAGTTTTTTGTTAACCTACAAAGTATGCTCAGATTTAACCAGATCGATAACTGTTGAAGCCAGCACATTCACCTCATGAAATAAAAAAATGTTTTCCTTCTAAAACCTTAGTTACAAATTCGTAAGTAAGGTAGGTATGGCAATTAACGCCCGTGGTTTAATACCGCCCAATCTTATAAACGTTATTAATTTATTATAGTTTGTGTTACACCTCACACAAACATAAAATATACCCATACGAATGCACGAGTACGACGACAATACTCCGCGCCGCCATCTTGGCAGTGACGCGCTTCGCATGTCGAACGTCAGTTGTGAACACCGTAAATATAAAAATTGCTCCAGCAAATCGTAAGTTTTTATTTGTTTTACGCATGTTTCGTAATATTTACTAGTTTACTAGCTTTCCTAGACTATGCTATGATATTTTGAGTTTATTTCTGTAATTATTGTATTAAAATGCGTGGATTGAATAACAATTCCCTTTCGGGTAACAACGCCCAGTAAAAAACAGTTGGGCGGTTAGTTAGTTATGTTATTTCAATATAAAAGTTTTCTAAATCATGTCTAAAGAACTTAAACTGTACGTTACCAAGCTAAATCGAAAATAAAACTTAGTTAATTACTAAAATCTATAGTTTGGGAAAACGTTTATTATTTATGTTAATTATTACCTACGCAGGTTAGTAAAATGACTCCGACCCAGTCCAGGGGTGAAAAAAGAGGACAATTGTGAACTGAAGAAGGCTTAAAAGCAGCAATGAATGCTGTTCAAAGAGGCCAATTGTCTCAGCGTGCTGCAGCTTCCAGGCATAATATTCCGCGAAGAACATTGAGGGATTATTTAAAAACGGGCACAATCGTTAAACGTTTGGGAAGAAAACCAATTTTTAGAGAACATCAAGAAAATGACCTCGTTGAACGAATAAAAAGATTCGCTACAATTGGTGTACCCCTCACGCCAAAATTTATAAGAAAACAAGCATATATGTTTTGTGAAACATACGAAATTAAAAATAATTTCAATAATTCCAAAAGAATTGCTGGCACTGATCGGTTGAGATACTTTTTAAAGCGGAATCCCTCAATTAACAAACGAAAGCCGCAAATAATGAATCCAGCTCGAGCACAAAAATTTTTGTAAACAAAACAATTGTTCAGCAACATTTTCAGAGTGTGCAAAAATTGTACAATGAGATGGATATCCTACAACATCCAGAAAAATTGTACAATATGGATGAAAAGGGATGCCGGATAACTGTACACAAGCAGAACACAGTCCTAGCAGAGAAAGAAAGCAAAAGAGTTCATCTCATTGCCCCTGAACACGCGGAAAATGTTACGATAGCAATGTGCGTGAATGCCATTGGTACTGCGATACCACCTATGATCCTCTTTAAAGGAAAAAGACAGACCTGATCTATGTGATAACTTACCACCAGGAACGTTAGTCAGGATTGCACCGAAAGGTAGTATAACTGCTGATTTGTTTGTGGAGTTTATTAAGCACTTAGCGAAATACAAGGTTGCTGGAAAATGTTTACTTATATTTGATGGTGCCAAATGTCACTTGTCAATAGAAGTTTTAGATGAAGCTGATAAAAACGATATAGTTTTGTATTGCCTCCCTTCCAACACAACGCATGAGCTTCAGCCCTTAGACAAATCAGTCAATAAGTCGTATGAACACCACTAGGATGAAGCAGTTCTGAACTTCTTATACACACACCCCGACAGAACAATGTCAAAAGCCACTTTTAATAAGATATTTAGTCAAGTCTGGCCCAAATGCATGACGCATAGCAACATTGTGAATGGATTTGCGGCAACAGGATTATTCCCGTTTAATCCTGAAGCTATACCGGAGGAAGCATATGCCCCATCAGTTTTGTCTGAAATTGCATGGCCACAAACTAGCGTGGAGCCCATACAAAGTCCTTTATCTGACGTCATATTGAACGATGACACTGATGACGAGCTACCGATATGTGCTTGGCTCCTGCAGAACTCTACATCTGATGTATTAAAGATAGATGAATACCTTGATCTTAATAAACCGACCGAAACCGATTTGGTACCAATCGTACCTTCAACAACTGAAAACTCTTCAATAGTTAAATGCCGTCTCGTTGACTATAGCTCATCTCCCGATGTTTCTGACTTCGAAATGGTAGAACATCCTCATAGGCCAGCAACACAGGTGGAAGAACACTGTGCTTCACCTTCTTTGATTTCAGAAAATGACGTTTTTTTGGTAAGTGCCAATGACGAACCACTTCTAAGCAATAAGGACACTTACAAAATAGATTTGGGAGTTCCAAGTTGTTTTGGATTACATAAACCTATTCGTCCAAGCTCTAGTTCTAACTCCACAGTTTCTGATTTAGATGCTTTAGTTTATACGTCTCTCTTTAAAAAATGCACTGCTGAAGACATATATAGTTACTCGTCAGCCGAAGATGATGAAAATACTGACTATTTTATCCCTAAAGGGCAAATCACTAAGAAACTTATTATTAGTTCCTCACATGAAATGTACAAAACAAATAATGAGAACTTTAGTGCCTCAGATGGAGATTATAATATTAATTTAAACAAACAAAGTGATAAGACACCATTCCCAATTTTTTTGCCAACTCCCAATTATGCACAAGTTAAAACAAAAAGATAGCGTAAGAAAGCGATGAATTATAAAGGACAAAGAATAACTAGGATTTATTTTCAGATAAAAGTGAGAAACAACAAAAAAACTAAATAAATAGCAAGGTTAATGCCTAAACTAATAAACAACAGAAGAAGAATACATTAGATAAGAAAAATCCTAACACCAAAGAAGTAAACACTGAGAAAAAAGTTTTAAAGTATAAAGATATAACAAAAAAACAACAGAGAAAAAAGAAGCAAATAAATGAAGTAAAAGATGATAACGAAGAGTGGTACTGCTATGCATGTTTTGAAAACAAGAAGTTAGACATGAGTCAATGTGGAATTTGTAAGAGATGGTACCACGAAGAGTGTGTGGGACTATCAAAATGTGATAAAGAATTTATTTGTTCCGAGTGTTAATCTGGTTTATACTATTTAATGACTTTAAGATAAAGCAAGTTAACTGATTGGTTTCATATTCAAAGACTGATTGATATTGTATCATACTATAGTTTAGAAAATGGTCTATTTGCAATTGACAGTTGTTTTCCATTTTGTAAGTAACTGTACTAATTACCTGATCTCATTTTAATTATCAAAATATTAGTTTGTAAAGCAACTCTCATTAAGAATGCTAGCTCTGGGGTGGATATTACCTAATACAATACAGGGCGCAATAATCCACCATCGCATAATAACGCCCACTAAACCAAAAAAATATGTTTCTTTTTTAAACTTATTTAAAGCTATTATGCTAGTAATTATTACAAATTTAAATGTAGTATCGAAATTGTTTTAATAATGATGATTAAAAAGAAGTTACAAGTAATGTTACATGTGCTGCGAAGTTTACTATTTTTTATGTTTATTGTTGATTTTTTACTTAAATTTTGTATTCTTATCAGAAAAAATAAAAAATAACATACGGATTATGTGTGGTTTTCAATTATATAGTGTCTATAACTGCATTATTCGTTCCTTAACTCAAACGGGCGTTAATAAACTATGTATTTTTAATAACGCCCAAAATAGGGTTTTTTAAAAAGTTGTACTGATGTGGAACTGTAATTAATATTTGCTGGATCAAAATTTGCATTTTACAATTCTGTAATATATTGTAATACCTTTAATATACAGTATATTTAATTTCATTAATTAATAACATCATAAATTTCGTTTTAAGTTAGGTAGGCGTTAATTGCCTAGGTTACCTTATTTTAGTATTTTTATTTAGAAATAATATTAGTTATTATCAACATTTTCTTCGTAAAAGTGAATAGAGAGTAAAAAATTGACTGTTTTGTTCATTATATTCTAATATTTCATCAACTCAGAATGCACGTTTATTTCTTTGCCGATTGCATCGACTGAGTAAAAGAAATAATAGTGTTTCCTTTTCAGAATCCATTTTGCATTTGCCTCCTGTATGTACTCAACATAAAACCGAAGACTTCTGCGGATCCCCAACACTGCCGTGCCGACGATAGTCACCGACGCATCTTCTACGTCAACCACCAACGCGTGAACGGAAAGTGCCTGTTATCGCAAAGTGCCGCTAGTCTGTATGTGCACTTACCTTTAAACGTTTTGTGCAAAGAATAATTTATAATCAGCCCACTTATATCTCCACTGACGCGTAATCCAGCTCTATCACTAAGCAATCTAAAGTGGTATTGTAATAGAATGATAAACAGGCTCTATCATTTGATAACGTGAACTGGTAATTTATAAAAAATAAAAATTGAATAAGTTTCAAAAAAGATTTTTTATCGCTGTAAAACAATTTCATTTTTAAATATTAATCGATAATCCTTGTGGAGCAGTCGAGTAAAAATAAGCAAATAAAAAAATGTCTATAGAGTACATATATAAAACTTTTCTCTTTTCAATAAACTTTTTTAGACTTATTATCTGGATATTTAGCTAGTAAGCACGTTGGAATTATCGTTAAGAACTATTTTCAACATAGGAGGAAAGAAGAAACAAGGTTAGTGCTCTTGCGGCTGAAGGGTATAATTCCAGACGTACTATTCCTTGAATACAAATTATTAACGAAGTATTCCTTGAATATAAACGAAAAAGTGAGATGAATGTAAAAGACCGTTTTAAAATATAGCAATTTGATTACTGACGTATTTATGACATCAGAAGTGTTTATTACAAGCAATTGAATTCTCAATGAATCGATTTCGAAGATCACAGGAAAATGAAGTGTATCTATATTTTTTCTAAACCAATAGTACTGTATTTTAGGAACACATGTATTTAATTTTCATTAATTTTTGTATATAAAAACTAACAATTTAAACTCCACACATTTGTGTGCGTTAGTGGAAGCTATAATTTTTACTTACGTTTCTATTTACTATTCTATTAAGAAACGTATTGAACAAAATATCTATAAAATAAATGGGATTGAAAATACATGTATTCAATGAATTATCTATTAAGTACATTTTTAGAAGACGCAGTTCAGCAAAGGCAGAATACGTTTCATTTTCGCGTGGTAGTTAGCGTGCGTGGTAAGTTTTAAGGATTCATTCCTTAAATTAATTCTATTATCGTATTTTATAATCACAAACAGAGCGTATTTATACCCCTTATCATTTAAATGACTATCTAAAGGCAATTCCGACAAGGAAATAATTTTAATCAAACGTTACATTGATTTAAATATTGGTAGCAACTGGAAAGCGTTTCGGACTAGCGTTATATCCGAGCCTCAAAATATACTTGGCGCTAAGCCACACAATACATGGAATATTAAGTAAAATATAGATGTTTTTCACCTTTGAATAACCTACATTATCTATGGCAACCCGTGAAAATCGAACGAGGTGTACAATTGATGGACCCGTTGATAGACCTCGTCGCACGATTGCAATGTTTGTGGCAATACTGCCATTGCTTCTGTTAACTTCTCGTCTGAGCCGAAAACCTGAAAGTAAAATTATTTTTTAAGAAGTCAAAAAATAGAATGTTATGCCTAACAGGTTTTGTAATGCTAAATTTTGCTACCGCTAACGATACTATTCCATCCTATCAAATTACACGGCTGAACATAGGCCGTAGATTGCCTGACAACCGGTTTTTTAATTTTATTAAATAAATTACAAAAATAAAAACTCAACTAACGGTTGTCTCAAGGCATCGGTTGTGTTGGGGACACGTAAATAAAATGGATTTCAAATAAATGGGTGGTAGCAATGAAAAGGCCTTACTGCGAGCTCAACATCAGGAGTTTCGTTTGTTTTATCCATTTTAATGCTCAGTACATTTTTGAAACCTAACGTAGACTATGCAAGTTGGATGAAGGTGCAATACCAGAACTTAAATTTGAAGTCATATTACAATTATTTTTTTTCAAAACAAATGGACGAAATATTTTGTACGTAAAATAAACAAAAAGATAATTATGTAATTTGAACCCCTTTTAAAGGGTAGCAAATTAATTAGATTTTTGTGTTTGATTTATCAGCATCGTTTTATGAATTCGTGCCTGTGTTTTATTGATCTACTAAAACCTGCCTTATAATTACCCACCTACTCATTATTTGCTATATACTTACCTAATTTAAACTAATAACTTAACTACAATATCGAATAGGTGTCAATCAGCATCTACAGAACACCTGCTGACGCTTTGCATAACTGACATAACGGCAATGAGCGATATGCGCGCTCTATAACTTGCTTATTTATACTTTAAGGAAGAACGTAAGATTTAACTATTTAACAGTTTAATTTTTCATTTTGTTTTCATAAAAGCGTGGGGGGGGCACGGCCCCGGGCGGCATACGAAAAGGGGTAGCGGCAAGCGCCAAGATTTTTACAATAAAATTAAAACTCCAAACCGCGCACGCAATGTTACGTGCCAAACGAAACCGCAAGGGCGCGTAAGCGTAGCGCGGCAGCGGACTGACGTGAACGAACCAACAAGCGAGAGCGAGTTCTCAGTTATTCAATCAAACAAGAAAATCACTGCTGAACCTAGGCCCAAGGAATGCCACAAAGCACGGTCCTGAGCCACCTGCATCCATCGACTTCCTGCATATCTTACCAGGTCGTCACTACATCTAGTGGGGGACGCCCTACGCTTCGCCTGCCAGTCCGAGACTGCCACTCGAGAACCTTTCTTACCCAACGGTTGTCGGTTCTTCGAGCTATATGGTCGGCCCATTAACTTCAGTTTACTAATCCGTTGAACTTTGTCGGTTGCTCTAGTTCTACAGCGGTTATCCACGTTTTTAATGCTATCATGCAAAGAAACTCCGAGCATAGTGCTCTCCATAGCTCACTGAGCGATCTTGAGCTTCATACGACCAGCAGTGAAGGACCACGTCTCAGATCCATATGTCATCACTGGCAACACGCACTGGTTGTACAATCTCGTTTTGAGTTTTTAATGTACGCCTGACGAGATGTGTCGTAATCTCCCGAATGCTGCCCAGCCGAGTTGAATCCGTTGATTGATCTCTCGGTCAAAGTTGGACTTACCTAGTCGGACTATTTGTACCAGGCAAACATACTCGTCAACAACTTCGAGCTCAGCACTACCAACAACAATTGCCATGGGTGTGACGTGGACGTTACACTTAACCGTTGTTTTGTCCATGTTCATCTTAAGACCAATCCGTTGGTAGACACTATTAAGGTCATTGAGAATGGTGCTTAGGTCGTCTAGCAATGCCGCCATAAGGACTATAACGTCAGCCAATCGATAATGTGCTCGCCATTAACGTAAACATCGTATCGTTTTCAGTCCAGTTGCTTAAAAACTTCTTTCAGTCCAGCGGTGAAGAGTTTCGGGGATAAAACGTCACTCTGTTTTACACCTCTCTGTAGTGGGATAGGTTTCGTACTCTGGTTCTGTACTCGGATAGGAAAATTAAACTGAAGATGAAACTGGTTGTGAGTCTGCGTGCGAGACGATTCGTAATGTAATAACTCTCGAAAACAGCACGTAGACGCAGCTCTGAAAGGAAATCGGGCTGCAGTTCTACAAGAGAATATTTTCGCCTTTCT